ATACATGCTTTGACCCACTTCAATCTGCTTATGGAAAGCATCACAGTACGAAATGTGCGATATTAAATGTACACAACGATATTATCTTAGCCATAGATAATGGTAATTGTGTACTATCAGTATATCTTGACTTTTCAGCAGCGTTTGACACTATCGACCATTCCATCCTTGTAAACAGGCTCTCGTCCATTGTATCCATTGTATATTGTATATTGTATTGGTATCTGTGGCACAGGGCTAACCTGGTTTAAGTCATAATTGTCATCTAGAAAACAACAGGTCCGCATAGGTCATATTTCCTCTGACCGTGTTGATCTTACTTGTGGCGTTCCTCAGGGGTCAATACTTGGCCCAGTATTGTTCCTCGTTTACATATCTCCCCTGAGTGATGTAATTCGTAGACACGGTCTGGAATACCATGCGTATGCTGATGACACGCAGTTATATCTAAGTTTCAATCTAGGCAAGTATAACGAGGCTAAGGCAGTTTTTGAAGCTTGTGTGAGGGACGTTCAGGTTTGGTTAGCAGATAACATACTTTTAGTTTTAATCCCAAAAAAACGGAGGTATTGTTCATCCACTCTAAGCACCTTAAAAGACTGCCTGTTATCGAAAACATTATCATCTGCGACTCCTCGATTGTTCCAACTTCAGCGGTTCGAAATATTGGTGTAGTTTTCGACTCTAATATGACAATGTGTAGTCATATTAACAACATCTGCAAATCCGTTTCCTACCACTTGCGCAATATTAGATTTATTAAGAAATTCTTAACCAACAAGGCCTTAATTAAAATTGTTCATGCATTAATAACATCTCGACTAGATTACTGCAACAGTATACTATATGGCATTCCACATATTAAGCATCTTGTAAAACTTCAACTTCTTTTAAATATGGCAGCCCGTCTTGTAACCGGCACCTCCAGATTTGACCACATTACTCCAAATCTCCATCAATTACACTGGCTCCCGGTCAAAAAACGCATTGTGTTTAAGCTAATGATTATTACATATAAATCATTGAACAACCAGTCACCAGCATACACCCGTGAGATGATTGTGACAAGATCCACGACTTGTACAATATCCCTTAGGTCAACAACTGATAAATCAGTGCTATTCGTTCCCCAAAGTCGTCTCAGAACTTATGGTGATCGAGCATTTGCAGTCGCTGCCCCTAAGCTTTGGAACAGCCTGCCCGATTATGTACGCCAGGCACCTTCAACCGGGATTTTAAAAAGCCGATTGAAATCTTTATAACTTACTATAGACCACTCACATTCGTTCATTTTCGTTGCTCAATAGGCCAATATTTAGTTACACACATCATTATGACACCTGTGAAATCAATAGCTGACCGGCCTTGGTCGGTCAGTGAAACGGTGTGATGATGTGTGATTTTATTTTTATCTGTTTTGTCGGTTATTCTGTTTGGTTATTTTAGGCTATTCCCGGTCAAATTTATTTCCATACATTATTCACATATATTTTTCAAGCGCCTTGAGACGGTTTCGATCGTGGAAGGCGCTATATAAATATAAAACCAACCAACCAATACCAAAGGACTTATTACCATCATAGTTGTATAAAGGTCATTGACCTTTGACCCTGAATATTTGGTCAACGCAGCTACTAGAAGGTGGCAAATATGTTTTAATGAATGTTGGTCCCAAAAACCTAGGTGTAGCCACTATTTTTTGTGCATCTAGGCAAACTGGTTGAGGAGTTATGACAATCATAGTTGTATAAAGGTTATTGACCTTTGAACCTGAATATTTGATCAATTCTAGAAGGCGGCAAAAATGTTTCCATAATTGTTGACCCCAAAAACCCAGGTGTAGATACTATTTTTGTGCTTTTAGAGCAAGTGGTTGAAAACTTATGACCCAGAACATGTTATATAAAGGTCATTGACCCTTGACCCTGAATATCTGGTCAACGCAACCATAAAAAGACGGCAAACATTTTTCCATAATTATTTACGTATAGACATACAAGAATATACTAAAATTCCTTTTATTGGAGTTTGTTTAAGGTTAAACCATATTTAGCCTCTACTAAGCTCAAAAGGCACAACATCTGAATGCATTACGGAAACATGTCACTTTAGATGCTGTAGTACACCGGTACATCACTGAACTGATCAGTATGTTATTAATGGAGGTTCTCTTATCCATCGATTAAAATGGAGAGAAAGCAACACGTATACTTCAATTGCAGACACCTATGTGTCGTTTAAGCTCAAACTCTATGGCCAGGCCATGGCCACCGTAGTATTTTACGGATACAGTAGTGGGCTAAGTACAAAAGACAATGCACATGAAAGTCGAAAAACTCAGTAATTAATTAGGTTTATATAAGAGGTGTAACGAAATTGTTGAAAAAAAGATGATTTCCTCTCAAATGATATAAACAAACAGACACTTAGCCATCTGATTGTAGACCGTCTGCACCAGAAAGGCTCCCACGTCACCCAAGCTGAGGGAGATGTAGATGCAGATAATAGTAAAAGCAACTGTTACAATGTCATCCTACAAGTCAGCAACCCTCATTGAAGACGACAGAACTGCTGGTCCTGTTACTTTATTACAGAGAAAATGATTGCAAAGAACTTGCCAAAATGTTTTTAACATCAAGGTTCTGAAAAAGATACTAGGTGATGACATGTGCTGTGATCCGTCGTTTGCCACGCATTCTCTGGTTGCGACACAACTTCAACAAGAATCTTTGGGATTGGCAAGAAGTCCGTCCTTCAGAAAATAATGAAGTGCGATTCTGTTCTAGTTATTTTGCAGATCAGGCTACTATAGAAACAACTGGATTCAAAGTTATGGTATCATTGCTTAATAAGATCCAAACTGAGTCTCTCATATTATAACGTTACAATTTCCTCTGCAAGAAAGTGGTCACAGCAAAGGCTTTCGTAAAACCTTACAGATGGCCTCCAACAACCTCGGCCACAAACTTCCACTTTCGACTGACTTATTTGCAAGTCATGCAGTGGGGATGGGCACAGAATAAATGATGGACTAAAAAACTGCACCTGCAACACTACTCAAAATAATCCGATGCAACTGCTCTGCAAGATGAATTACAATGAAAGTTAGTTGCAGAAAACATAGACTTGAATGTACTACAGCTTGTTGACATTGCTTCATTAGATATTTTCTTTTCTCTTGGCGGCATTATTGTATGGGATTGTGACTGTAGAAATGTGTTACCGGAGAGCTATTCCCTCGAAGTACAGGAGAATGGCACACCGTCCTAGTCAATTACCATAATAATAATAATAATAGTAATAGTGCAGTTTTACATAGCGCACATATCCATCTAATGTAAGATTCTCAGGGCGCTTGATATGTGGACTAGGAACTCCACTAATGACTTTCTTCACCCCCAAAGATCCCTTCGTGTCTGTGCTACCCAGTATCCCGGTACCAGCAACTCTCGTCATCTACTACAGGGGTGTCTGTTCCAGTACACCGGGGTATCCCCCTACTCGTCTCGAAGGACGTACTGGGTTCTTTATAGTGCACACTAGCCATTGTATACACTGGGCCTACGGTTTATAGTCCTTGTCCGAGAAGACTTGCTCTACCACCAGAACCATTTGCAAGCGTGCCGTTCGAACCAGCGCCGGTATTATGGCTATAGCTTGCGGCGCCCCTGCTAACTGCTCGGACACTCCAATCACCAAACCATTCGTTTCTGTCAGTATTATTTCCTTTGATTAATTATGTTCCCTGCTAGGAGTATTATTATTCGCTATTTTTAATATTAAACACAAAAGCACAGCTCCAAAAGAAATGTACTTGATAGCTGCTGTTATACCTGGTATTGACTCAATTTTTACCCTGTCAGCAGCATGCTGACTGGGCTCAGTTTCCGAGCAGTTTCTTACCCAGTCAGCAGCATGCTGACTGAGTTCTGTTTCTGAGCAGTTTCTTCTTTACCCAGTCAGCAACTGCTGACTGGGGTCTGTTTCTGAGCAGTTTCTTCTTTACCCAGTCAGCAGCATGCTGACTGGGTTCTGTTTCTGAGCATTTCTTCTTTCTTTCTTTCTTTCTGGCAACATTTTGAAAGGCTACTAGTGGCAAACTACTGGACCGATTTCAATAAAACTTGGTCAGTAGGACCAGTGCCACCTCCCATTTATGTGGGAACGCTACTAGTGCCAAACGGTTGTGCCGATTTTAACCAAACCTGGTCAGTATAACCGGTGACACCTCTCATACATGGGGTGTTCACTGCTTTGGGTCAAAGGTCGCATATGGGTTATAAGGGTAAAACACTTTTTAAAAAATTAATAAAAGACTTCTTCTGTCACAAATAACATACACAATCTTGTCCTGGGCACACGTGTATTAGCACGTTATTAGCATTATTTCTCTATGGTGTTCAGCGAGTTAGGTTCAAAGGTCATTAAAGGGTTAATATTTTGTTTTATCTGGTAACATTTCAAAATGCTACTAATGCCAAACGATTAGACCAAACTCAATCAAATTTGGTAATTAAGAACCAGCAAAACCTCCTACACCCCAGTCTAGGATTAGGGGGTCACATAGGGGTCATCGGGGTTAAATTTTCAGAATAGCCCCATTGAGCTCAAATTTACCAGGAATGATCCTTAGGACCTTCTAAACACGAAAAAAAATACTCTTCACCTCATAGGTCAAATTTCATAGGTCAAAGGTTCAAAATGTTCCTAATGGCAAACGATTGAACAGAATTCAATCAAATTTGATCATTAAGAACCAGTGACACCTCTTACACCGCAGTCTGTGACCGTGGGTCATCGGGGTCAAATTTTTAAAATAGCTTATTTACGCTCGAATTTACCAGGAATGATCCTTAGGACCTTCTAAACATGAAAAAAAAATACTCTTCGCCTATAGGTCAAAAGTCACAAGGGTCATTTTGATGAAAATTATTAAATATTGCTAGCGACTAACGATTGGACCAATTGCATTAGACAGACTCCTACCAAACACGGGGTGTTCACAGCTTGAGGTAAAAGGTCACAGTGGTCACTTTAGGGTCAAGTCTTGAAAAATGATTGGGTTCATGTTCTATTGAACATAGTATATCTAGTTAATTTTATATTATATTCCATTACATTTAAGATGGCACCAATAGATTCTATGACCAAGAAAACATAGGGATTGCCACTAAAACCACCACTGTAGGGTGACTAGTTTATGACTTATAGATATGCAAAAAATATATGGCGGGCATATATGGACGCCATTTTGAATTTGATCATTATTGATCAGATCACATTCTAAGTTGTTTTATTAGGTTTCTTGGCCCGTAAAACATTACATTAGACAAAAACTGCGAAAAAAAGAATAGCTGTTTGTAAGGTATTTTCGCCATTTTGGCGGCCATCTTGTAAAAACCTTTTTCTGGTGGTCCGAATTTTGCCAACTTTTGATACGTTTTTCTATAGTCCTTAGGCTACAGAAAAACAATAAAAAACATTTTCTTGCAATTTCTTTGGGGTAGGGGCATTTTTAAAAATATATTTTTACTTTAAGTGTTGTAGATTGCTAACTACAAATCAATTCCCTGGCCTCAAACACATATATTTAGACAATAAATTCACCTTATTAGGGTAATTTTTCCCCTTTTCCTAAGGGCATTTGACCAGAAATAGATTATTACGGAGGTCTCAAGCCTGACAGCAGCAACATATTATTTGCTATTGTCCGGTTTAGGATCTCTAATAAACTATTGGTGGTGATAAAAACATGTTCTCTATTGTTATGTTGGGCCGTTTAGTCACCTATCCTCCAGACATGTATTATACTAAAGAATTGACGAAGGTAACAGGAAATTCCGAAAATTTCGCATATAAAAAATATTTCTGCCTCTTGCAAGTCAAAGTATCGTAGCTGTTTATTGTCTGCTCTGGGAACACAAGAACTGTATAAATCAAATTGATAATAATACAGTGCTCAAATAAATGGATACGTGATCTTATAAATCGTATCAAACAAAGTTGATCAACAAAAGTTCCTTAGTAGTTGTATAAAAAATGACCACAGAGACCCATACGATATCTTTACGGATCTAAGACCACTTAGTCTCTCTTAGTCTCCCTCCCTTTATACTCGCGGGCTCACACATAGCACAGTAAATTTTTAACCTACATAATAGATAATTGGTAGCAGCAAGTGAATCATAGAAAATAATATTTTAATCAAGTTTGAAAGGCAAATGGGAAAAACCCATAAAACAGCAAACAGCCATATAATGCAAAACAATTTAAAATTAAAATTAAAACGGAAAAGTAGAGAAAATCCGATCAGAATGACAAAATAAACTAAGCATCCACTGGAAGGAATCCCAATAAATAAATAAATAAATAAATAAA